TTTATGTGGTCTTAACATAGTAACAGAAGCTACGGAACTATAATATATGTTTATGGTCGTTATAAAGAAACGCGAAGAAAGCGATTTGTTTTAGCTGTAAACTTGACAATCGCTTGAGCTTTTATGGTCCAGGCTAAATCAGATTCTCTCTTGCTGCATGCTTAATCAGTTGGCAAAGCCCATGACAGTTGCTGTTACCGAAACTATTTCTAACTGAAAATTCCGCGGAAAAATCATAAAAGAACGAAGCGTCAGTCGTGAAGTATATCAAAATGGAATAAAGTAGAGTAGTGGAAGGAATGCAGAAATTCAAATTGAATAGATTATATAGCAAATCCAGAAACTTATCGAATAGGTGTAAAGGTTTTCAAACGCTCATAACTGCATCATTTTTTCTACTGTCCGTCTCTTATTCTTCATCAAATGTCAACACTTTAACCTAAGCAAAAGACCTTGTATTAACAATCAATAAGTTATATTGACCGTTTGGAGGGGCTAATATAAACTTGAAAATATGATTTTAAGAAGTTTGCAAGCGTGAAAGAATGACTTCAGTATCACAGGATGTTTGCATCGTCCCTAATCACGAAAAGCTTGATAAAAATATATACTGATAAAAAAGTGAGCATTAGCTGAACGATGGTGCACATATGGCTGTACTACAATTTATGGACGAACTAATAAGACTTAGGGTTTTTGCGCGAAATTCACTCACCCATTTATTTAAAGAGCGTTTTAGCATTTTAACTGATGTCCCTTCGTTATGAGAATTCCAAACCTAATTCTTAACCCTGGCCGTCAAATGTAAACCATAATCGTTATTTTACACGCAGGTTTATAAACTTCATTTAGCTCTTAGAAGTTGGTGGATATACTCAAGGTCACTTATAGACGCTCAAAAATCGTTCATAAGTTATGGATCTACCGTTATAACTATTATAAGAACCATATATTTGGGTAAATTATTGTAATTTGTGATTAAATTTTGGCACTTGGATTGGTATTTTGTTCTCTTATTATCTGGCGTCGACATTTACAAGTGGATCAATCGATCATACTTCAGCAACGGACAAAAGCAAAATTTGGGAGTGACACGATATAATACTAAAAAATCTGTTCAATCTGAATGTATTAGAATCTAGACGTACCAGACGTTTAGGCACATTGCAAAAGTTAGGGTCTCACTGGTCCAAAAAAAAACTACCGACCGAGTAAAAGTGAAACATCTTGTATTACTAGTGAAACAATACTGAAAGCTTCACATAAATAATTCATCGAACTGAGCCGTTCTTACATGAGATGAGAAAAAATCGGTCACTGAAGATGTGATAAAAAATAGTGACGGTCAAAAAGCTTAGGCTTAAATATGATCAGCGTGAAATTGCTCGGCCAAAAAGAACAGTAATCTCAAATGTATCTTTTTCATCTCTGTATAAAACATATTTCATCAATAATATATTTATTCTTCGAGGGTTTGTGTAGATGAACACCCCCGACTTCGACGATAGGGCAAATCAGGGTAGACAATTACGTAACTTCGGCATAAGATCATGTAAAACAAACCATCACAACATAGCCAGTCCTTGATATTAAACTAGGTCTATCATTTTAGTAGCATAAATAAGTGCAATAACACCGATATCAGAAGAAAGATGCTGAGAGTAGTCGTCGGGTTGTATGAAATTCTGTCTCACTACAGCGATTATGTGACGACCGAAATTCCTATCTTCGTTGTTCATCAGTGTCTCAGGGGAAGGCTAAGAGATTATATGTATATCCACTAACTGGCTTGGCTAGCTGGAAACGTCAATGGTTGTATGGAACAAGATCTGTTTACGTCCGTTCTTTTCTGTCTTCATAAGTTATACAGTGTTACCTCATTTTTATTCACTCATATAGATCATAAGGTTATTATTTATCCTGTCTATTCCATTTGTTTACTGATTGAAACTTGTGTAGCCTTTCTCTTTCCCCTTCAGCCTACAACACGGATAATGCAGTTATTATGACCTAGTTCAACTAATTGATTCATTATAAGGTCGTGTAACATCAGAAGTTGTCTTCGAATAAACTGACCAAGAATCACATAACAAAATCACTAGCACCACTCCATCCAACTAGATTAACATTATTGATTATTATGAGAAAAAAATGGATAGTTTATATGAATGGATTCGTCCGAAATTTAAAACCGAGAGGACATCGCAAAAAAAGCTTCTAGTGGTTAGTAGGAAAGAAATAACCACACAAACGAAAGCCAGGAACAGTACTTTCAAAGATGCAAAATCCGTTCCTAGTTAGAATGATTGCCTACATAATTGTAGTCACAGAAATGTGGGGAATATGAGAGAACTACTGAGTACAGCAAATAAATGTTCCAATCAACACAAGAATGTCATTACATTCTTTCTTGATAGATTACGCACAGATTGTTTGAAAGATAATATATAATTTTGTTACAACACTGAATGTTTCCAAATCTGAAGGCACGCTTCAATGAACAATCACCAATGGATGTTTACAGCCAGTTCAAGCAGCACAACCATAATCGGGAGTGGATCAATATGGCAGTCACTGTCGCCAAACTATCAAATAAAATAATATAGATATAGTTGGGGGAAAACGTGGAAATTCAGTGGAAGCATAAGATAAAACAAGAACTACGATCAAGTATGAATAGTGCCATCTCAAATGAAACCAAACGATCAGCGAAATATACATCTGGCAGAATTGAAAAGAATGAATCGCAACAATGTGTAAGTAGATAGATTTGCGTACACAAGATTTCCCGAAAAAATCATACAGAAGTTCTGACAGCTGTGGACTATCCTTAGAACGTTAATAATTATGGTTAGACCATGTCTTCACACACCACTGTGATGACGTCACTGAAAATTAGTATCTAATCCCGCTAGCTGACAGTGATCACGTAATGTACTTTTAGTTCCGGACACATAATGTCCAATGTCTATCTGTCATACTAATTTCCCGTCAAACAGAGATTGTGGTATCCCGACAGATTAATTGGTCTATGTTAGTGGAGTGTTCGAAGACGAATGGAATAACGTTAACGTTACAATGGAGACCGGAACAATACCATCTATTCCATGGTCAATATGTAAGCTACGACACTGCTCTCCATGAATCGATAAAGGAACCGCAAAAGTGATGGAATTCCGTCAGTTTTGGTACAAGAAAATCGTTTGTATTGGCAAGAGATGATCCCGAAAATGCTGTAGGTTGATCGAAATATTTCAGTAAAGTGTTTTCTGTCAGCAACGACGAACGACCAATGATTAATTGTGGTTGCGACGGCTTGTTGGTGGATCCGGTAGTTACTTAGAAAGGTAATGTCTTAAAACTACTTCAGCATTTCAGATCTGACAAGTCCTGTGGTCCTGATGATATTCATCTTAGGATTATGAAAGCCATATCAGATGTAATTGCTGAACCTATAACCACACTGTTTGATATGTTTCTGCAGCATTCCGAACTGCCACGAGACTGGAAAGACTCAATAATTAATCCAGTTTATAAGGCAGGGAGTAGAGGCGCAGTTGGTAACTATCGACCCGTTAGTCTAATCAGCGCAGTTGCAAAACTAATGAAAAGGATTTTTCGTATTTTTATTATAAACTACGTGGAAGGGTAAAATCTTTTACCCATGGACCAACGTGATTTTCGCAAAGACTTATCATGTTTGACAAATCTGCTCACTGCAAGTGACTGGGCTGCGGCAAAAGATCGAAATATTCCTGTAGATGTGATTTTCATAGATCTAAATAAAGCCTTCGATAAGATCTCGCATTCTGGTCTTAAATTAAAACTGAAAAGTTTTGGAAACCATTATGCAGTCATAGACTGGATAAGTGACGTTCTTCATGACAGGAGGCAAAGGGTAGGGGTAAATGAAGCTCTCTTATCGTGGGAAGCTGTAAAAAGTGGAGTTACCAAAGATACGATTCTTGGTCCTCTTCTCATTTTATTTTATGTAAATGAATTACCAAGTGTAGCAAAGTCTACTCTTCGTTGATGACATAAAGATTTGGAGACACATACACTGCATGTCGGATAGAATGGTATTACAGGATGTTCTCAACTCCTTGGTGGTATGGATGGACGGAAGGTCACTAGAAGTGAATTCTAGGAGGAAGGTGGTGATGCAATTAAATAGCTATGACTATTCATGTTACTACACAACACGTAGATTCGTGTTATCAAAAGTAATGGACTATAAAGACTTAGGAGTCATAATATACAGCTATATCACAACTACGAGTAACTGTAATGCTGCTGCTGCAAAAGACTGTGAGGTATTGTGGGCTATTCGTAGGTCTTTTCAATACTTGTACGAAGAAATGTTTAGATTAGTATACCCTACTCTTGTGAGATGGCATTTGGAATATGGGATTCAAACAGCGAGTCCCTGTTTCAAGTATGAGGCGGATATTCTGGAACGAGTCCAACAACGTGGGACTAAAATGGTAAAAGGTCTCTCTGGCCTATCTTATGAAGACAGACAGAGACACCTCAATTTATTTCCGCCACCTTGCCGTATAACACGGAGTTATCTGATATTGGCATATCGTAGACTGAACGATGACTTTAGTATTAATATGTCTTGGATTTTCCTTACGTCTAGGACTGATCATTTGAGAGAACATACGAAAAAAGTCCAAAAACCGAGATAAAATAATCTACCTTTAGAGTTTCGTTTCTCACACCGACCAGTGAATTACTGAAATTGCCTACCGCAACATGAAGTATCAACATCTTCTGTTATGTCCAAAACGAGATTGAACCTCCACAGTGTTACAAACTGCAAGGACTAATTTAGATCGATAGATTTTCTGTCCTTTTACTGAAGACTGAAGACTGGAATTAAACCGCAGAATGAGCAGCTGGTTCACGTCTTACTAAAGATGTTATTACACTCGGTCACATTAAATGTTCAACGGATAGTTCAGCCAGTTTACACTTACATTTGAATTTTGATTGTTTATACTCGTTGATTTGAGCTAATTGGCGCGATCTCTGGGGTATACTGATGAGTTCGATGATGGACGAATCCCAGGTTCCTATGACCGAGTATGAGCAGATTAAGTTCAAGATGAATCAAACGACTGACGAGGTCTGTTCTTTCACAGAAAATTTTGACTATATAACTCTTAAGAAGTCTCTTTGTTCATTTCTTTAGTATTGGATTCTGTGGTCGTAGGCTGTCTTTCCAATGTTCGCTAACAAGCTCAACATTTTCCTTGGAATGTCTAGTAAATAAAAGTAGGGATACTTTTTAGAGTGATACTTTGCACTTGCTAACCACAAATTAAATATTGTGGTTATTCGAACGTGTATATTGAATCTGGTGATAGCTCCGTAAATTAGTTTTAGAATAAAGCCAGAAAACGACTTCTTAAAGATACAAGTTGCTTGTATGAGCTCGTGTTCTGCACTAATCTTCAATATTCTTAGACTTTGCTTATAATTGTCTGATATGTGCAGTCAAAATGTGAGACGGACTGGATGCACAATCAGGGTATTATATTTGAGGTGATACAGAAGTGAGATGTAACCTATATCTAATCAGTTTTCGTTTTCCATGAACTTGTGTGTTTTATAGAAAACAAGGCTCCTGGTTTTTCGTTTAAGTTAGTTGGGTCATATCATCATGATGTTCACTCTAAATATCTAGTTTACGTGCATGCTGTAATGACATATTCCCGGAAATTTATCTCCAGCTTTAGGGTAATATATTGTCCACTTGCTGTTTAGGCTCTCAGGTAGTGTAAAGTCATAATTACTTCGAACGTGTGTGGTCTAGTTACCAGCTCGGGCTTTTAACTAAGCCAGCATGTCGAAATTCTAATCCTGACGGACCATTGTCAATCCCCTCCTTTGCATTTAATCTTGGTAATTGTTGTGATGACTTATTGTGACATTCAAAGTGAATGCACATGCTCCAGATATATTTCTCACGATTTGACAGTGTACCGTAAACACAAGGACGTAAATACGCCTTTGTTGTTCTACTTCAAATAAGTTTATAGTGTAGTTCGTGAAACAAATATTAAGATAGAACTTTGTCGCAAACATTTGTACTCCTCTGTGGTTTTTAATATTATATTGCTTTGGAGTTTAACATGAAGTGCAGAACGCGATCTCAGCCATCAATTCTGAATCCTATAGAGGCGTCTTACTAGTTCAAGACAGAGAGATGATACTTTCTAAACGCTACGTAGCAAACTAGTAAGTCTTCACTAACGCGAGATGCACTACCAAATATGGAGGGTTGTTCAATTGGTGATTTAGAAATGTAGTGCAAGACTACTTTCTCTGGAGTATAGTTATTGTCGGATTGAGTCGTTATGCCAGCCAATATGACCGGATTTACGTTGAACCCCAGTTTTCGTAACAGATATAATCAGTTCTCTAGATGTTATCGGTCATGAGCCATCTAGTATCGTCAGTTAGGAGAAGTGTTTCCATGTGGTTGTAGCAGGCTGATGTGACGACTTTAAAGGTAATCCATATTAATTTACAACAATCCGGTCTCCTATAAATAGTTGGTCTCGTCGATTACACTGCTATCAGCATATAGACAACTCTAAATACACGAAAATACTGACTGAACATAATGAGTACTATTGGCATTCCGAGACTTTTAGTACTTGCGTCAGACAGAATTAAGTTCATTTCTTCCCACTGGTTTTTGTTGTCAAATGTATCAATATCTTGCGCAACACGTTTTTTAAGTTCTAGCAGAGGTTTTGTAATCTTTCCAGCTATTGTTTCCAAACTAAAACCGTCCCCAAAATCATGGCTGCTTGCTGCGCACATTGATTCTACCAGCCGTTAAATAGTTTCATCATTTTATTTGATTACGAATAACAACTTCAGTGTAACTGCCCATCGTTTGGCCTATTATTGGTGTCAAGCACTATGAGTATCACAATACATCATATCCATCTTTAGATTGTTTTGGTTTTCGCCATTTGGGTTCTGAATGTTTTCTTACGAGTTATGTGGTTTCTGCTTTCTTGTGGCCTACTAACTCATTTCGATCCAGATATAAACATTATTTCTTCATGTTAGTTCCTAAACAAGGTTTTTGATACTACGGAGGTACTGACTACTTCTACAAAATTGTCACCGGCATTTTTGTTACTAAAGGTTTTATGCTTTTGAAGAGTTATTTAGTTTGTGGTCTGACTTTCATTTGAAATTTAGTGTCCTTTAAATATCATACTGTTGCTTTTGATAGTAGTATAGATTTTCAAACTAAAAATGTGGTTGTCTGTCTTCCTATATGTCTGTTATTCGTAGATCGTTTACCCATCCAATCATAACCAAGTTTGCTTGTGGCCAAACACATCTAAAATGTTATGATTAGTCTTCCATAGTTTAGTTTCTTAATATTTAATGAAAATAATGGTTGATTTGGGAATAATTGTGCCCTGTCCTTAATGGATTGTGGAATTTCTCGATACTTTATATTTCTGCATTGCAATTAACGCCTAATATTTCCACCCCAAATTATGTAACTATTCATATTAAACTTGGGTGTACTAACTGTGAAATGCCGCAAAAATCTCGCCATCCTGTTTGTGGATATGATGAGGTGCAGTTAGACGATGGAACTATCAGACCCATGACAGAAGTAGAACTTCTTCAAAGGAAGATTGATGAAACAACCTCGGATGTAGGTGTCCCATTCTTTTTCACGGTTGAACTTTGTTATTGCTTGTTACCCCATTGTTGCCGAAAATATGTATAAGGAACCTAACAAAATAGTTTTCATCAAGTGTTCTTCAGTTTATATAGGTCCGTGGTTAGTCTTATTTAAAAGTCGTCACAAATGATGTAGTTGTAGAATTAAATTTTACATAGTTTTGTTGTGATCAAGCACTTATTATTTCATGTAATTTAATATTCCCTTCAAATGTTCGTACAAGCATTTTTGAGAGAAAAAAAGTTATAATATGGTGTAATTATTATACTGATTTCCACATTCTAATGTTTTTCAATTAGTTTGTCAGGTCTCTTTGCAACTATTGTTATTCGTCTTAATCTTATTTTTTGCACATTTTAGTCACTGGAAGCCTCTCGACGGATGATGGCTTTATGTGAGGAGGTGAGTCTTTTTACATCTATAATAATAATTGATCAAAGTTGAGAAAATGATATGCTAAATGTTTATGTAATATTTAGGCCAAAGAGGCAGGGATTTCTACACTGGTCATGTTAGATGATCAAGGCGGTAAGGCTACACATATATGTTGTGACACAATTTGTACATTTCATGTTGTAAAGCTGTTGTCTAAGTTGGATGTTAACTATATCGTGAATGTATTTTAATGGATAGGTGGTTTAGACAAACCGTTGTGTCTCGTCCAAAAGAACCTGCTGTGTATTAGTAATAAAAAGATTGTAAACTACACCATACATATATGATAGACTACAATTATATCTTTAGACTCAAATTCATTGTTTTCGGTATCTCTGTATTATTTTTTTGATGTTCAGATTTTTTTTACCTGTATCTAAGTGTCGATACCCAACTGCCTTATGTTTTGCTCATAGAAAGTTTTTTTGAAATTTTCAGAACAATTGGATCGCATAAATGAGGGTATGGATCAGATTAATCAAGACATGAAGGATGCTGAGAAGAATCTGGATGATCTAAACAAATGCTGCGGACTTTGCGTGTTGCCTTGGAATAAGTAAGTCTGTTAGTATTCTATTATGATTACTTACCAAATGTCATGATTGCTGCTGTACATATTCCTAAGGTTTAATGGCAATATGTAGAAGACTAATTGAAAATTTTTTCCCTCGTTTAAGCTCAGTTGATAAGCAGTTTATTCACTGGTTAGAAAATGCAGTTAAGGCGATAAATGGTGATCATGGAACTAGTTACATAAATTTATTCGTAAATACCCATGTTTCAGGGCGTCATAGGTTTGTTGAAATCTTAGCTTGACAAAGGCGAAAATTGACTATCAAATTGAGCTAAATTATGTAAGTGAAGGACCGGTTAATGAAATTGTTATTCTCTGGAATACCTTTAGTTAATATGAAAACAAGAAGAAATAAGATTGCACTACGAGCATTATTTACTGTAATGCGGTAGAAATCCATTGGATGTTATTGTAAATAAAATAGATACAGTCAAAGTTCTACGTGACGTTCCTCACAAGACTGGTTTTAAGTTGTAATCAAATCGAATAATACAAAACAGTAGATGTTATGGTTCAGTTATTCACTTGGTCCTGTGACATTAATTTGTAGAATTATATGATTTACTTAATTTCCGTTAATTTCTGAGACAGTCAGTCAGTCAGTAACAACGTAGAACTTCGTACGTACATACATCAGTTCGAGTTGCCACACCACCTTAGCACAGAGATGCAGTTGTCGATTCAAATCCCGTAGTGGTAGAGGTAGTAAGAGTATAAGCAGTAATCGGGAAGATTAGGGTTTGGAGATGTTATTTAAGGAGTATAATCCAGTGAAATAAATTTGGAAAGAGGTGAAAAAGGACATGGAGAATTCAGAAGATTAGAATTTGGGAGAACACAAAGAGTGGATGCACCTTCGTCATTGCAAACGATTTGGAGCCATGTCATTCAAGGTCTCTAACCATCGGTTGCTATCATCTCACGGTCCCCAACCAGGTAGTCTACACCTACCAACATGACTCAGTTCACTTGTTAGTGACTTCATGGACTTGTGCCATGTTTTGGTCTGGCCACCCCTAGCTTTCTTCCAACCTACTCCTATACCACTGAACATCGCACGTCGGGGCAGTCGATGGTTGGGCATACGCAACACGTGTCCCAGCCATCTCAACTGATGAAGTTTCACTACGTCATCAATTGATTTGCCATCCTTACCTAGTACCCGTTTCCTAACAACTGCGTTACTTACTTGATGGTCCTAGGATATACAAGCAATGTTTAGGAAACACCTATGATCAAATACTAGTAACCTACGAATATCCTCTACTCTTACCGGCCATGTTTCATTGCCATAAAGTAGGACGGAACGAACTGCTGCGCAGTAAACACATCCTTTGGTTGATAGACGGATATCTCACCTACGCCATAAATGACGCAAGTTGGCAAAAGCTAGTCGAGCCTTCTGTATCCGTGCTGAGATTTCGTCACACACCAGACCACAAGGGCTGATGAGACTTCCAAGATAAGTGAAGCGATCGACACGCTCAATTACTTCACTCCCTATCATTAGGTCGGGTGTCAATGCAACCCCACCCTGAAGCAACATTTTACATTTCGAGGGGGAGAATCACATACGAACATGCTTGCATTGTTGCTTAGAGTGGTCAGAAGACTCTGCATTTTGTCAGCGTCGTCACCAAATAGAACTATGTCATCAGCATATTCTAAGTCAACGAGTGAACCTCCTGGTAGAAGTTCAACCCCTGGAAATTTAGATGAGGAGAGTATTATCTCTAAAAGTACGTCAATGACAAGGTTGAACAAGAATGGGGAGAGTGGACAGCCCTGACGAACACCACTTGAGGTAATCAATTCTGATGACAGTTCGCCATAAGCTCTCACTCTACCAGTTGTGTTCGAGTAGAGAGCCTTTATAAGGTAAATTTACTTCTTCGGTACTCCTTTCAGTGACAAACACTGCCATAGAACCTCACGATCAACAGAGTCGAATGCCGCCTTAAGGTCGAGAAATACTACCATTGTGGGGCGTCTGAATGTGTGTCTATGTTCTAGGACCTGACGTAGTGTGAATATCTGATCTATAAAACCACTTCCAGGTCGAATACCAGCCTGTTTTTCTCTAGTCTGCTCTTCACGAGCTTTGATTAGGCGTCGAAGTATTATGGAGGCTAATATTTTAGACACTATATTAGTCAAACTGATTCCTCTGTGATTGTCACAAGAGGACTTTTGTCCTTTCTTATAGACTGGCACAATCAGTGATTGAGACCAGTCAGATGGGATTACGTCCAGTTCCCAAATTCTACCTCGGTTAATCTCATTGCTAATACTGGACCATCATCCTTAAAAATCTGAGGAGTAAACCTGTCAGGGCCTGCTGCTCTCTCTCGTTTTAGATTTCCTATGGCTTTTTCAACTTCGTAAAGGGACGGAGGACCTACATTAACTTGTCATTCAGGTTGACTAGGGATCGTGGGAAACCGAAGTGTGGCTGAAGGCCAGTTGAACTGATCCCTAAAGTGTTCTGCCCATCGATTTAACCTCCTGGATTGAGAATGAATAATATGTCCATCTTTCTCTGAGATTGTTTCGCTAACGGTCGGGTTCCTAATTCCGGTTTCCTTAACGAGTCTGAACAATTGTCTGCTATTACCTATTGCCGCTGCCTTTTCCATCTCTCTTGTTTCGCTACGCACCACTGTTCGCGATCATTGCGTAGACTTCTTGTCAGCTTGCGCTTAAGTTGGCTCTGCCCTTCATTATGTTCAGAGCCAGGTGGAATGAGTTTCCGAGCATTTATCAGTGAGATAGATGCTGCTGAGATCCAGTGTTGCTCCCTAACCTTCTGGTTTACCTTACTAGCAGATATCACTGCTGTTTCCACAGCTTTTCGGATATCATTCCATGCTGCATCGGGCTGGGCATCACATACATGGCTGCCTAACTGTTTTCCTAGTTGTTCCTGAAATATACTCTTAGCTTGACTATCATTAAGTAGGCCCCATAGAGGTTTCCTTGCAGCGTCTTTCCTACGTCCAGTAAGATGCTGACAAATACGCGCTCGCACTAGAGCATGATCTGAATCTAGGCATGTGCTCCAGAATGAGCGACAGTCTTCTATCGAGCCCCTCCACCGGTGGCTGATAGCGATGTGATCTATTTGGGTCCAACGTTGGGACGAATTAGGTGGTCGCCATGTTAAAAGATGTTTTTCCTTATACTTAAAGTTAGTATTTGCAAGGAACAGGCGGTTATCTGAGCATAGCTGCAGCATACGGTCGCCATTACCTGTCCTCTGAGCCACGATGCTATAAGATCCACCTAGGTGTCTTTCTCTATAGCTTAGTTTACCTACTTGAGCATTAAAGTCACCGGCCACCATTAATACATCCGAGCGCCTAGCTTTTCAGAGAAGGTCGGAGAGCTTTCTGTAAAACTCATCTTTTACATCATCCGAGCTGCAATCAGTGGGAGAATAGGCAGAGACGACGAAGAGGCAACGACGAGTGTCCCTATATTTTCGGATCCTTACTGTTCCGTTTAGTCGGACAGCGCACAAACGACTGTCTACTGGGATCCACTCTAAGAGAGCTAGTTCTGCCATAGGACTCAATGCTATACCTACGCCGGAGAGGCCACGGGAAGCAGAATCTGGGTTTCCAGATACACGAAGTGTGAATCGAGTTGGTTCTTTATTTTGACATGGTGAGGTCAAATGAATGACGTTACTCGGATCCTGTATGCGCGTTTCGGAGACGCAGCACACATCGATGGCGCGAGATTCTAAAGTCCTAGCTAAGGAAGCCTGCTGTCCTATTTGGCAAAGTGTTCGTACGTTAAAAGCTCGTACGTGTAGTTTAGGGTGTGGTTTCAGGATATCAGGAATAGCCTTCCACGTACTCGGATCGTTTGCCCTAGCGGTGCGAGGTGATAAAGAGACGTAAGGTGGGTTAGTCATGGAGATAAGAGAGGTATTCGGAGGTGTAGGAAGGATTTGAATGTGACCAACTTGGTCTCGTGTGCTGTTACGGGTATGAGGGTTGATATCACTTCCCGGCTGCCCACGCCGTGGAAGGGTATTTCTTGGGGAACCTGAAAAGGAAACCAGATTAGTGTTGGTCTTGACGACCTGGGAGTGTGACCGCAGAGCCCAAGAAACAACTGCTTGAGGCCGGTTGCGCACGGCCTTTTTGTGAAAGGTTTTTGACGTGTTAGCTCCGTTCTTCAAAGGGCCTTACCGCCGGAGACGGGTCGACCATTTCTAACCCCACCCCTCCTTGTGGGGTGTATATAACCATTATTCTGTACCATTTGTGTGAAAATTTTTATATCTCAACGTAGTCAATCATAGTTATTTCATTCTTTCAAGTTTTGTACGACTCATTTAAATTATAGGTTATCATCATCCACTATGTATGTGGTAAAATCCACATTAACAGTTTTATTAAAACTAATTTTGTTCATCAACAAATTTGGTGAAAAATAATAATTGAGCAAGTGTAAGTATAATATTTTCTAACTTTATTGAGTTAAGTTAAATAACCTTCCAGAAGATACTTTTAACACTCAAAGCAATTGTGAAAATTCAATATCTCATCCTTGCGTATTAAAATTAAGAGCTAGTATAGAGCAATATTTATTCTGTATTAGTAGTAGCCTCTATCTTGCACATATACATCCAGTTTTATTGACTTTATAAGTAAGCTATGATTTACTCATTATAATGTCCTTTAGAGTTAAAAAGAAAGATGATTATACCAAACAACTAAAGGATGAGGATATGCGGGGTGGGGACGGACCTCGAATAATTGTGGATCAAAACGGCATGGGTCCAACTGGTGGTTATATTACACGGTATGTTGTATAAATGGTTTGTATTGCACAATTGTATTTTTTGCTAATAATGTAATCATTAAAGTTAAAATATCTATCCCGAGTCATAGTATCAGTTTGCGTTCTTACTTTTAGATGTATTTGAGTTGAAGCTGAATTATTTGTAAAGGTTGATAATTAGGATGAGCAATACTTACTAGTGTTACTAGTTAAGTAATTGATAATTCCCGTAGCCGTACTTGAGAAAAACTTAGGTCATTATGGATGCTTTTCTGTTTTCTCAGTCAACAAGGTGATTTGATCGTAATTGAAAAAAATGTGATATAATCAGACTGAAATGGACACTAGTCATTGAAACTATTGAAAAGAATGATTACTGTGTATGATTGCCGGTTGTTTCATTAGCCAATGTCCCATAGCTTCGTTGGGCAACATTTTGTATTCAGTAAACTTTTATATTATGTTGCGGTTGTCCAAGTTTTACGTGAGTTATACAAGGTTTCATACGTACCCTTGACCACCGGGGCTTACTGGTGCTATCGATTAAGACTTTCAGTGGTCAAGTTTATGGATTATATTTTTGATTTAAGTGATTAACAATATATCGAGCCTTTTAAGCATGCATGGATTTACGTAAGATGCTCTGTCAATCCAATAAAATGCGTTATAAAATTGGCATTTTATGTTAATCTGATGCTTTGGTGTCAATATTATGGTCTAAAGCAACTTTAAGTCTTTTATATCGCTCCAGGTCCCCTGAAGTCTGTTTTTGCCCATTTTAGAATTACAAATGATGCACGAGAAGATGAAATGGACCAAAATTTGCAGGAGGTTTCTGGTATGATCGGAAATCTTCGTAACATGGCTATTGACATGGGTAGTGAAATTAATCAGCAAAATGTTCAGGTTGAGCGAATACAGATCAAGGTACGTAGTCTTCTTGTTATTTTCTCATCCAAAAGATTTCTTCAACTATTTTATGGGTCTGTGTACGAGATTGGTTGCCCTTTTGAAGTTGCTTCTGTGATCCATAACGTCAAGATTCAAGTTGTCGTAGAGATGTAGCACCCGAATTCTGAAGACTAAACTATGAATTCTTAGCCTTACAGTACTTATTTACAGCTCAAGTGCTTAGTAGAATGTCTTTAAGGAAGTGCGCCACGCAAAACAAAATGGCAGTGTAATGAGGGAATAGGTGATAACGAGAAACGTAGACGATAAAGGATACAGTTGAAGTAAGAACAAAACTAAATCTTACTCATTTGTTGTTTATGAATATTCTAGATAGTTAGAGAGTATTTATTAAGTGTTACTCATTTTTGAAATAAATTAAATACTATTATCTTGCATTCTGGATGTCTCAAATCACTAGGTTAGGTTACCTCCAGTCTCTTTAGTCATAAATTGTTCAATACTAATCTAACGTTACTATCATTCACTCCACATCATCATAAGATAAACGGTTCACTTGCTTATTTTACCTGAGCTCATGAATCAAAGTGTCATACAGGAGTTTGTGACTAAAAGCGTAAAAACATGAAGTCGCTAAAGCTATCGTTCCAAAATATTTATTTTTAGTAGATTTTAATTTCTCAGGTGTATCGTGCTGACATTATTCACACTATTTTCACTGTAATTAAAGAGTCTTTCAGAGACAATGACAAAATTCCTAATTCAGAGATTGGCTAGGTTTTGCAATCATACGAAAACTTCGACCTGACACGTTATACACGTAGTAGATTCTTGCAAGAATAACTTTGCAATGGGACCAAGGATGGTAGTGGGGCATAAATCACTTTCGTTATCAGTGTATCTAGATCGATATTTTTTGCCACTTGACTATCGGGTCATAACTATCTGGACGAACATCCATCTTGACTATCACCAGCAGTCTATCACAAAAGGTTGAAACCTACTTGTAAAAGTAGTTCTAATAGTGTGATTCGGATAGAATGTTTGTGGTTGTAAAAATACCTTTTCTTCAGCAGCCAACCACAGTTGTCACACTTTTCTCATCTGTTTCCAAAATACCAGCAGTTGTAAGCCTGGAAAATTGCAGCTGTAAAGGTTTGTGGAGCTAGACAGTGTCACCCACTTTGGGATAGTGCGTAAGTTGTGTCGTGTTTATCGAATACGATTTTTCACGTGGTTGATCTTCCCTCTACTATTAGTTTATGCTAAATGTAATTAAAGACAGTATTTCAAAGCTAAGTCCTTTATCGAATCAGTGACTTATTGCACACCATCTGGACTTATCTGCATTCTAAAAGCATATGAAGTTTTCACTCACTAGGCTGTAAAGTGTTTTCTAATCTTTGTGTTAATAAATGTAGTATTCACAACTAACCTTTAAAGGTGAATAATTTATTTCCATTAGTTTACTCTTATTTTTGTCATGTCCCATAAAATTGATACATTCCGAAATCTTGTCTCACTTTCTGCAAATTTGTCAAATAAATCATTGCTACCCATAAAAACGTCATTTCCATTTTTTAAATAAAGGGTTTATGTGACTGTCCATCTGTCGTTATAACATGGCGTGCATTATTCCCTAACCACAACTGCTGGTTTCATACTTTTTTCGAGTAATCTCAGGACCGGATACTTGGTTCACTCATTTTGTCCACTGATATTAAGTTTGTTTTTTATTTGTCTAAAATTTACTGTGATGCGTTTTATTTTAGGCTAAATCAAATGCTGAACGAATTAAAAAGGCTAATGAACAAGCCAGTAAATTGTTAAAATAAGTCACATGTATTCGTTGAGTTTTCATCAGAATATTGACTGCTGGAGAAACCCTTCAATTCTTGGTAAATTACTTCGAACACAGACTTTTCACAGCCACTTCCGTGTGCATACGTGAAGCTTTTGTGATAGTGCTTCACCAAGCCCTTTATATTCATCTATTTTGTTTATATATTTATCACAAATCAATTCAAGGGAAGTTTGTGAAGTGAGGAGCTGAAATTTTTTGTTATTGTTGTTGCCTCTTATGGACATTAAATTTCTGTCATTCTCATATACTTGTTTATGTTTTCGATTCATTTCGTTCTGTAAAGTCATTAGTTTCCTCTTTTTTGGTGAACAGCTTTATTCTGAGTTATCCTTGTCAAAGTTATTCGCTATTGTTTTCCTCATTTTATTTTGGTTCCTCTCAAAGTTGACACTCAATACATCGATTTCATGTTCAAAACTACACATCTCACTATCCACTCTTTAAAGTCCAATTAAAGAGTTGTTATCTATCCACATATTGAGGCTTATTCTCTTGTCAGTTATGCTTTCATATTTACTAAGATTCATGATTACCACCTACTATTGATGATTTATCTAACTATTGTACTGGTAATAAAGACCGAAATGAAAAAAACCAACAGTGATTTTACTACTATTCTTGCCATCCTAAAACAAGTCCACTTTTCCTTTGATTTGTGCTTTTCTTTTCTAACATACTTTTACGAGATGTCATTTTTTCCGAACAACTGATTATCAATATGAGATATAATACAAAGTTGATTTATAAATCATGTAAATCCAGTTGCGTTATTCTCATTAATTAGTCGCGCATTATTTGTTAGAAAGTCTCATCTCTTCCTAAGCTAACCCCTGGGGGTTCTGTATTCTTTTAAGAATGGGTTTAATTAAATCTTAGTTTATTTTGCCCTTCTAGAAAGGTCATTTATAATGCGTCAATTATTTCCGATTGGAACCTTAAAATTCGCATAGAATATTCAAAGAATAAACATTGGAACAAAAAATTATTATAGGTCTATAATTATTTTATTAAAGTGACCAAGATTAATTGTGCTAGTAAATTAGACAACGTTTTGTTTAAAAAAAAGTGGTGTAGTTCCGCATCTGTTACGGCTTACTTAAGCATTTAAAAATGCATCAACTTTAGATTGGTAAGATCGCTTAAAAACGGTAGAAAAATTTGTTGTCTGATGTCGAGTTGCAATCAGTGTAACAAAACGACTCATTTGAATTAAATGCATGGTAGAAATTTCCTTTAGGTAATTGAGATCATAATGATGATAACAACAATACGATGTATGATAATAGCGGTAGATTGATTGGGACTTGATATATAACTGCGGGAGCTTTATAATATCTTGTTCGCTATCTGCTAAGTAGGAAAGGTTGGCTCTACTAATAGATTGTGTCCTCCAGTTCCTTTCGTTACTTGTCTATTTCACCGCATTATTAATTTACACTTAATTCTCATAAATTTCTTGTCATAATTACTCCTGTAACACCTCTATTATCAGGTTCTTGAACATAAACATAGCTACTGACACACTACAATAGTAGTGTTTCTTGACTTTAAGGCGGATTGAACTCCGTTGGTCAAGTGTCTTATAACTGTGTCACTGAAAAACAAATTACAAAACATTGTAAATACGCTCTACTCGAACACTACTGATCGAGTTAAAGTTGCTAGCAAGCTGTCATCAGAATCCCTTGACAGGTGTTGAATATCGTTCAGTGATTAAACCACCAAATGCCTTAGAGGAATACTTATAAATGACTCATGACATTTTCAGAACTGTCTTTACTTGTCACTATTTCTCTAAATATCCTTATTGACACGCACCTGCTGTTGATGGTTTCAACTGCGGTGAAAGGTGGTCAGCTACTATAGAAATGGGTAGTATATCAGTTCGCTAACCGACCAGTTTTTCTGTCTCGATATTAGTTCGCAAAGCTTTGCGGTGGTACTTTGGTTCTTGTAAACCTCACTCGGCCACACGATACAGAACACTTCAGGCTATTGGTTGCATATAAATATGATAATTCCTTTCATTATGATGTAGAGTAATATGAGAAAAAATTGGGATCAGGTATTTACTGAAAAAGACAAAGCTCTGATAAAGGTAAAATATTATAAAGGGTTCAAACAGAAAATTATCGCGACTGGTGGTTTTGCGTTACTAACTCACTAGTTCTAATTTATATTTGAGTATTCTGGTCTGGCCAGTATAGAAACTTATGAGTTCTACTGACTGTTTTCTCCTTATCCATGTGAGTATGACTCAATTAATCAATATGAATATAAAAAATATAGAAATAGAAAGAGTCTAGACTTTTTTAAATATTCTGTTCACATGAAATCTTTTTATAGGATCGGTGATACCACGAATAAGATTAAAGCTTGGTAGATCTTAATACCTTAATTGATGAATGACTTAAAAAGATAGTTGTATTAGTGTTTTCTATTGCTTCTTACTGTGCGTAGTTTCGTATTGAGTACTTCGTACATATCTACATCTGAAAATGAGATGTTTTAGTGCCCAGTTCGCTCTCCGGATGGCTTTTCATTTCTAGAGCTGGATACTAATTTTTGATAATAGCCGAAAATGGGTTTCAATAAATATCCATGGATATTGATCAACATAGTTAGCATTTTTCTCTAACCCAATATATCATTTCGTGAAAGTAATTTTTGTTCTGTGTGACATTTTGATATTGCTTTATTCTCAACGTAGCACTTTATTTAGTATAAAACTATTTTATCATTAGTTTCATCCTCTGTGTAACATTTTATTCATTACCGTATTAAGTTTATATTTCCCAGTGTAACATTATTTCAAGTCAATATGTTTCGCACTAATTAAGTGTATGTTATGTTCAGTGCGAACTTCCTTCCAATGTAACGATCATGTTCTTGATATTATTCCGTGTAAACTTTGTGTTTGTTTTATAATAAACTTATTTCCCCATTTATATGATGTTTATCAATTAATGATCACTTTTGTATAAAATCAATATATAAATGAGTGCATTTGGTTTAATGTTGTGTTTTTCGATAGTCAATAAATGTTCATTTGCACAAATCTTTATACTTTTACTTCACGTTGTGGGAATTGTTATGTTTCCTGTTTTCAAGTATATGCAATAGTACTATGGATATAACAGTACCGCTAGAATCATATCTAGTGCTTCTCCATTATAAATATGGACTATAGTAAATATGTACATTTATGTCTAATACTATTAAATATTTAAGTAAATTATCAGGAACCATCATCCATATCAAGATGTATAGTTTATATAAATATTTACGCAACAGTCTGTCAGTTGCACAGTTGATCAAATGTTTCAGATTTTAAAGACAACTAAACATACAATTTAATAAACAGTTGATTAGTGAGAAATCTTCACATAAGAACCAAAACATGTCTTCTGAGTTTATTCAACATAACTGAGTGATGATTACATAAGATTATATTACGTCTTTCGTCTGTTTATTTGTCTACTGATTCGATAATCCCAATTACAACAAGGTGGTGATTTTTTTAATAATAATATCCCATAAATTATTAATCATTCTATTAGGATCTCTGACAATAGGTAAAATATATTTAGTAGTTGAATTCATGAGTCGATCTAAGCTAGACCACCATGGAAAACCTGGAAGCACTGGACTGACGTTTCGTCCTAGGATAGGACTCCTCAGCGGTGCGCACCCATGGTCCTGCAAGCACGACTCGAACTCAGGACCTTCGGTCTCGCGTGCGAACACAAACTCTAGACCACTGAGCCGGCTGGCATCCAAGGGTGTTAATGTCTAACTTGAACCAATACAGGATATTGCACGGCCATCCACTGTCTTCAACAAGTGACTGCCTCACAACAGACACGGTTGAACTCCGCTGGTTACGGCTTCTCACTAGGGCTGCAGGAAATACATCTTAGAGCCAGTGACTGGTGAGCAGTCAGCTACAATGTAGAACTAAGCATATATATGTATCGGTTCAAGTTTCCACACCTCATTGGCATAACAACATGAACACCAAATTCATAGTAGTAGTAATACATAAAAGAAATATTGTGTGTAAGGACATAGTGAGCACATGATGATTATCGGAATGGGGGATCGTGGATGCGCACTGCTGAGTAATCCCATACTAGAATGAAACAGTCGTCTAGTGCTCCCACGTTTTCCATGGTGATCTAGCTTAGATCGACTCATGAATTCAACTATTAAATTACTACAATCTTTACGAACCCCCATTCTATTAATAAAAGATATTTGTTGCAATAAATTCTACAGAACTTCACACATAACACAATCATTAATAAAAGTAAATCTATGACAAAGAGATCTATGATACAACTTGAGGTAAACTCGGAGTACTAAACTGGATATTATTATTTGTCTTTACTTACTATAAATGTTATACAAGTGTTCACCTCTTACCATGTAGTGTAATTAGATTCAATACGTTTTTTTCGGGTCATTCAATTGTTTAAAATGGTAATTTATTACTAGTTGACCAACTAACCTGTATCATCATCCAAAAGAAGACATTTATTTATCTTATTAACTATTTGTATGAGTCACGTCTCAATATGAATTGTATGTACATAACACCCGTATCGTAATGGTAATCAGTGATTAGAGATTTCGGATGTTGCTTAAAAATAGTTGTATGGATGCAGGCATGTTCTTGGCTTACATTCTGCTAGATTTTAAGTGTCAATATCATTTCATGCTTCTTATTCATTAAGTTCATCTGATATATGTATATATAATTATATAATTAGAAATAAACGTTTTTACAAATAGTAAAAGCTTTGTAGTCAGAAATGTGAAATATTAAAAGCAATTCCTCTCCAAGTGTTTAATGGATATATGTTCTGATGCATAAGTATCAATATAATCAATGCTTCATTTTCTGAATAAACAAGACAAATCTACTATAGCGGCAGTACTCTAATTTTCCAATATTTCAGCATATGATAGATTGAAAGGTCTTGACAAAATAATCACAACTTTATCATATAGTTAGTGTATATAATTAAAGTCAAAATGAGAACATCGGCTTCAATATTAACAAATTCATAAAATATGGAACCAAAAGGTTTGACCTGGTGAGTCATTAGTTTGTAAACAGTTTAATAACGCCTAAAATACTTCCTGTTTCATAAACTATTTATTGTAACTACGTGATATTTCTACTCCAAACTAATACTAGTAAGAAATATCCTAAAACGTGGCCTCCAATATTTGCAAAACCTAAAAAAAACATACTTAATCAACAGTCTTTTTGCTCACAAATTATTTTGGATAATAAAGATGAAACAAAGAATACAAAACAGGACTATAGTAGAAGTGTAAAAAACAAAACAAGAAAAGAGCTAATTAGCCTATGGTTCTTTCCATTTATCCATCTGCTTATCTACATATCTATCAACCATCCACCAATTATTTCTACTTTTCCTTGTTACAACAAAATATTTCTCTTATTTTCATGTTTATTTACTTGTTTAGACCTATAAAACAAAAAAATGTTTTTTTTGACCCTAAAATAGGTTGACAAATAACAACAACAACAACAAATAATCATAACAATAATGATCTATGACTTGATGGATTATTATAAACATATTGCTATAAAATAATAACAATAATAATAATTTAAGGACAGACTTATATTGATTAAATTAAGTAATATCACAATAAACAAATTGTAGTTATTCTAATTTGATAAAAATATACTGAGAAATAAGATTTAATAACCAATTTTTTATGTTACTATTCACTAGGCTATTAGAAACACACCTAGTTTCTAGTAAATCAATACTTTCATAATATATAAAATTAAATTGGGTTAAGTGAATTTATTTATTTACATTTCTGAACTGAAACTAGACTGGTTGCTAATATTCCTTAATGAAATTCATCGATGTATGATGATCGGTATTAAATATAATCCTCGAAACTTCGTATACCGTTTGTCCTGATAATCGTCATTAGATAACGTCTCAATGGTGTGTTAGTCAGAAGGCGAATACGAAGTGTTGATTATATTTATTATTGCACCACGCACAGATAACCAAAATTATAGGAACGCTAAACAAGCATGAAAGAATAGTGGCAAAAAGCAGTCAGTCAGTCAGCTACAACTTAGGACCAGGCACATATGTGCATCGGTCCAGGTTGCCATACCGCATCAGCACAACAAGATGAACACCGGATTCATAGCATGTAAGAGAAATATTGCATATAGATATATAGTACAAGAAGAAAGAATTGGTTCGTAGAAAGAAAGATATGAAGTGATTTTAATCTCTTAGTTTAAGGGAAGACAGGGAGTGTATACACCGACGCCATTGTGATCGATTCTGAGCCATGTCACCAAGAGTCTCCAAACATTGGTTACGGTAGTCACGCGGACCCCAACCAAGTAGTCTGCATCTTCCAACATGGCTCAGACTAGAAGTTAGTGACTTCAAGCACTGATGCCACGTTTTAGTTTGGCCGCCCCTAACTTTCTTCCAACCATTTCCCGACCGTTGTTGCTACCTTGACGTGGTGGTCGGGCTTGCTTATCGTGATGAAGCAACCGAGCTATACTGGCTGGAACAACCGTTCCTCAAGGTCCTACCATGTCAGACAGGTCGGTTGAAGAGCGGTAAGACTAAAAGCAACAAACCCAAGGTCCGAAGGCGAAGTCGTACTGCTGACTGTACAGAGGTGTGACAGCAGTAAGGTGTTTCCTTCAGACAACCAGCATGACAGCGATGCTGCCTTCCTACAAGGAGGGGTGGGGTTAGAAAAGGTCGACCCTAAAAATGCACACCTCACCTTACCTCACGGATTTCCGTCTCCGGCGGTAAGGCCCTTTTGAAGAACGGAGCTAACACGTCAAAAACCTCCCACGAAAAGGCCGTGCGCGACCGGCCTCAAGCAGTTGTCCCTTGGGCACTGCGGTCACGCTCTCAGGTCACTGAGACCACTTCTAATCCAATTTCCTTTTCAGGTACCTCCAGAAGAACCCTTCCACGGTGTGG